AAGAGGGAATTAAATCAATCACAAGACTAAATTATCGTAGTTACAGAAAAAAAACATTAATGAGTGGGATTATAAGGACAGTTTAAGAACAGCAACAGCAAAAAATCAGCGTTTTCGTAACCTAACATGACCCATCATCATGACACGCATCATCGACACGTGTTTGTTCAAGGGCGTGGCGAGGATGATCGTTGGTGGGCGGGAAGGGAGCGGAGGCAGTCGATAAAAGGAACGTGAAACACACCGAGTCCTGTCACAAACAATACGACAGTCAGCATGTGAGTAGACCGACGGCGAGCCGCGCTTCGGCTTCTGGTTGTCGGCGGCGCACACGGACTCATAGGATCTAACAGAGAAATGTTTTTTTTCGACCATAACAGCTGACGACGACGTTTACACTGACGAGCCATTACTGTGATGTTTGGACGGAAAGACAAGATGTTCAGTCTGTGACTCCGATCGATTTCCTTTTCGTATTGAATAATAGTTTTATTTTTGTAGTGTGACGGTGATCAGTGCAGTGAAATGTGACTTCAATTGATTTAAAAACAACCAAATGCTGATACAAGTTGATATGATGATTTTGGCAGTGTTTGTTTATCTGGTTGTTATTAGTGTTTTAAACATTCCTCATATTGATAACTATCTAGTCATTGATATCACCTTTAATTATTAAACTTTGATATTACTTTTTAAGATATTTCCATTAATCAGGGTCACTGATAATATCTTGAAGTTAGTAGTCATTTCTGTAAAAAGTAACAATAATTTTCATATTTGTTTATGCCAATCATTACATCGCACTGGTTACGTCGCACTTTAGATTATTTATGTTGGGAAGGAGTTTCATGTTTTTCTTACATACAGCCTTTTCAAAACAAGGTAAGACTAAAAGCATTTTCGATAAAACTTTCAGTAAATAAAGTGTTTGTGGTAGTAGGCCTACTTTCCAACACGGTGATATATATTTATGGCTAGATGTGCAGAATCATTTCCAGATTTTTGCGATCCGTCACGATGGAAGACACTTGGTGGCACTGGACGGCAGACGCTGACAAAGGGACAAGACTCGTTTCTTTGGTCGTTGGACGAAGATGGACGTCGCAGATTTCTCTTTCGGGACTGAAACGAGTTTTTTTTACGTTTTAAGTGTTATTTGGCAGATTTAAGCGTACGATTTAACATATTTTGCATCCTTTTATCCATACGAAATGCATGTTTTCTTGCGCTATTGATGGAGATGCAAAGCATTCTTATATTAAATGTGTTAGTCACAAGTATGAGTCATCTTCTCATCTGCAAAACTTCTGGGGAAAAAACTGAGCAATTTGTAGAACAGGAAATGAAGATCAGTGAAAAAAACTCTTAAGAGCAAGACTATTTGTAATGAGGGAAGTTCTTCCTCATGAGGGTTGGTGCACATGTGTGCTTATAACACTCCTTTCGCTCTCCCTTGCCAGGAACTTATTACACATCCTTCTGCTGGTGGCGGTCACCCGGGCAGAGAAGCTACCGGGGAATGAGATTAGCGACACTCCAAAGTCTCTGCCATCCCCGTTAGCGAGCACGCAGGAAGGGGCGTCGTCATACTCTTCATACAACGCCGAAGGTGCGGGGATGTATGGCCAGACCACCAAGCAAGCACCCTTTGTCAGCAGCTTCTATGGTGTCCCAGTCGCCGCTACTTCGACAACTACCACTACGACGACCCCCAGGCCAGCCACAACGCCTATGTCATACGGTCCTGCGCCTACCTCCGCAGCCCCAGCAACGCCTCCAGGATCCCTCCCTTACCCATCCTATACGGACATCCCTCCTGACCTTAGCTTCACGTGCACAGGGCGGCTGGATGGGTATTACGCCGACCCAGAGGCGCAGTGTCAGGTGTGGCACTGGTGCGTGCCAGGAGGATACAAGTACTCTTTTCTATGCCCCATCCAGACGCTCTTCAACCAGGCCACAAGAACATGTGATTGGTGGTACAACGTGGACTGCCAGACCGCAGCATCATTATATGGGAACAATGCTGAGCTTTATAAAGTTTAGACTGGGGCTGTGAGGAAGTATCTGTATGCAGCAGTCTAGATTCTGTGATAATAGAGAGCTATCAGAGAAGTGCAAATGATCATAGTTGTTTACCAGTTTGGATATGCCAAACATTTTGGCTTTTAGTAATGCTAGATAGTTGTGCAGGTGTTTTCATTGCATATTTATTCACTAACACAAAAAAATTCTGCCATGTCAACATCTGAGGTCATTACTGGTGTATTCAAAATATAGTGATAGGGTATGGCTTGGGGACAAGGCCCCCCAGGTAAGGAAGAAGTTCAGAAAGCAATGTTTGTGTATTCCCAGAATGGTTAATGGTCAAAACACTTAAATGTGCAGACATCAATGATCATATAGCACTCTGATAAAGTATTGCAGCAGAAAGGTTAAAAATTAGTTAACAATTTGGACAAAACACGCTAGATGCGAAAGCCTGTAGAAGGCTGTAGAT